TTGGGAGGGTTTAGGGCCTCGGGATTCCGTAGTGTCAACCAGCCAGCACCATGAGCAGGTCGCGTTTCGACCATCCCAGGGTTCAGGGGTCATCTTAGCTTTTTTTGCAAGGAATGTGCCCAATTTGGATTCATATCGAGTTCGTTTTTTGGGTTTAGGTTTTAGTGGATAGTCCCCAATGCCGAACCATTTCCCGGAACGAGAAATTGCATTTCGGGGCGACCAGCATCATGAGCATCAGCACATCACAAGCATCAACGGCCACCCTCAGCTGCCTGAGTCGTCAGTGTGTCGGCCGCCTGTGCGGAGTTTAGGGCAAGGCCATGCCCCCGGGCGAGTGCCTTGGCCGTTCCCAAGCGTTCACCAAGAGTTTGGGGTCATTTCTTAGCCGTCGCTACTGTTGCAGACTGGAGATCACGGGCCCTCTTTGCATGCATCGTTACGAACCATTCTGCGAACCTGATCAGAAGAAACGCTGACCTTCACCATAGTTTTGGTGGCGGTTGGTGTTCTGGCCGCTTCCTCAGTGGCTGCAGCAGAAGTCTGTCATCGCTTTGCTATTCGAGTCGAAAGGTGTTGGCCACGGCTGTCGTGGCTGCATACTTGGCCGGGCTCTCGCTGCGGCGCAGATCGAAGTCACAGCGTTCTTTCATGGACGGTTGCAGTGAGGTTCTCGAGACGGTGCGAAAGACTAGAAGGAGGCGGGACGGGATCTAATCAGAGCACCGCGCGGGAGGGTTTCGACGTCGTGTGGCACAGTCTGCGGTGAAGCAGACGCAGTGCCCTGATGTTTACTGACTGCAGGGCTCGGGTTGTTGCTCGACGCGACGAGAAGATGGAGGACAGAGTGGGTGACCAATGCCCCGTGCAGTCTGCTTCGGAGGGACCTGAGCCATGGAGCCGCGCGCACCGAAGGTCTCACAATAACCTTCCCAAGCACAGTTTGTCAAAGTATCTTGGTGGTCGGTGCATGCACGTCGCGCATGCGCAAGCACATGATGAGTTGCACCCGGGTCATACAGACCGTTCCCGACAGCTGCTACAGCCTGCCGTGCTGCATGCTCGCCGCGGTCCAGTGTCGAAAGCTTCTGTGTCAGTCTCCCATGGAAACACCTTCAACAAACGCAATCATACCAAACGATATTTAGGATGTTACGGTATTCCTTACTCACCTGGACGAGGAGGCCGTGCTAGAGTCCAACGCTCCGGAGACCGCGAGGTCTACAAAAGCTGCGGAGATCAACTTGGACAGTGAGTGTCCGGTACACAGCGCTTCTGCAAGTTTTGGGGGAGTTAGAAGATTTGCCTATCGTTGTTTCTGTCCTCAGTGGAAGAAGAGTGGCCAGTATCACTGGCACCGTCATTGAAAAGCCCAACTTCCGCGACAGCAAGCTCTCCAAAGACGGTCCCTGCCTCGAAGCAAAACTGCGGCAATGTCAACATGATGCAGCTTGCAGTCTGGAGCCAAAGAGCCAAAGGTGCAAAGCAGCGGTCAGCTCTTGTCGCCACAGATGTCGCCAAAAGGACGACCATCGGTGCAGGCTGCGAGCATCTCCGCGCGGCTTGGATCGTAGTTAAGCGTGCGTTTCGGTCAGCATGCTCGCGAGGTCTTCTCGAAGCCAGAGGAGTTAAAGACGCACGTGCACGACCAGGCGCGGCATCGTCCTGTTACGCGCGCAGATTGCGTTTCTACTTTATCCGTGGATCGCCGTTGGCCAGTTGCGGCATTCTGGCAATGTAGTCAGTCCGCGGCCTACTGTACCTTTCTGCTTTCATGATCAGCAGAAAGCTTGTCATCGCACAAAAGCACAGCGCTTGATGTGCGAATCTTTCTGAGTGCTGCCCGCCTTTCAGCTTCCCACCAGCAATGCATCAGTCAGCACGAAATTCAAGTGAAGTTGCCTCCGAAGTCCGTCAGCGTAGCTGATGCAAGTCTAGCGCACGAGGTCTCGCCGACTTGCACGTGAAGAGCAATTCCATGATGAGAACAATCAATGGCAAGGTCGGGCATCACCAGCATGTGAAGTCCAATACGTTTCAATCGGTCCAAATAATGCCTTTGCTTTGGAAGGTGTTCTGCGTCTCTACGATGATTAGGGTGCCGGAATGATGCAGGGGTTGCAGCCAAGATCTGTCTCGGCAGGTGGAGGACCGAAGTAGAGGAAGCACCCTGGCTGCGTTGACGGCTTCAGGGCCATATCGGGCACGTGTAACAGCTTTTGAGCCCAGCACCAAAGTCGTGGAGTTTTCTTTTGATTATCCCAGCGTGGCATTGCTTCGAGCTCAAGCCACAGCAACCCTGGAGGCCCTGGTGCGGTGCCTTCCCTTGACAACCTTACAGCCAAGGAGGGTCAAGGTCGACCACAAGCGGCTCTGTCACAGCCCCTTCGTCACCATTGGGCAGAAGGCCAGCTGAATACTAAAGCTATGCTTACTAGACCCAGGACTCCACCACGCAATTTGGATCCACAGGTTCCATCTGTCCTTGTCCCCAGGGTTAGCAACCGAAGCTCGGATGTTCGATTTCTGTTGCTTCGCGCTTGGGCTTCAACCTGTCTTGGCCCCGAGTTTCGTTGGGGTCTGCATGCTCGCCAGCATCTCATGATGAGCAGACAGCTCGTCCTGTCTTGGTGGCTTGAAACACATCTTGCCCTCGCCTTCGAAGAATGACCGAGCGTATCATTGCAGCTTTGGCGATCTGTGGTTGGACGCTTGGCAGCTTGGCAGGCATTCAATGACGCTGTCTCCGACTTCTCCGAAAGTGGAGGCCTAACTGCCTTCTGCAAGCGACTTTGTGCTGTGCACGCAGCTATGAGCAGTCCGGCACGTGCCCCTGACAGCCGTTCGAACCGGGGTTTTGCCAGGATCGGCGCAAGTTGAAGTCGGCGCAAGGCGTTGGACACCAAGGTTTGAAGGGTCCAACTGGATATACGCCGTTTGGATGATTGGCGTGGCAGATGTGCGGTGACTCCGCAGTGGCCTGTGATGCCAGCGCATGCTGAGAAGGTTCTTTCTGCAAGTAGCTAGGATTCAGACAGAGCTCAATCAATGCGAGACGGTCAAGGTCTTCTAGCTTTCTCCCAGCATTGCCCCACCTACTAGATGAATCCGAGTTGTGTCTTGCAATGGTGCACTGGTGGCAGAATAGCCATGACAGATCCCAGGACGTCTCCTTGCCAGACTGAGAGACGAGTGGTCAGCAACCCAGAATGTCAGATACCCAGCCAACCCCCTGTCTGCAGGAGATCCTCACCAGCCTTCTTGCGACCCGAAGATGCACTTCTAGCTCCTCGGCCTATGTCCTGCATGCCGCTGGTAGAGCAGGGAAGCGAGAAATGACTGTGATCCTCCGTCGGATACGGGTAATCTCCCCCCAGCCGCAGCCCTTGAGATTTGTGGTGGGAGATGTCAGCCAGGCAATTGGAACTACACCAACGTGAAATATAGGGTCAATGCCGGCATTGCAGAGGTGGGTTGACTCATTTCTCATCACAACAGCGCCAGTCATCGTGCTTCGTGTTGCAAAGCTGGTGTATGTTTTGAACGTGCGGTGCCGAGGTCAAGTTGGACGACCCCCTTACTGGCAATGCATTGCTGCTCGAACTGAGCAGGGCTGGGATGGACCAAGATGCAGAGAGAGTGCAAAACATACACCTTTCTGCCCTTCTCCCTCTCCGGCTCTCTCCTGCTCTCTCCCGTTCTCTCTCCTGCTCCGTCCGACCCTCCATCCATCCTCCCTCCCTCCCTCCCTCCCTCCCTGCCCTGTCTCCCTCTTCTCTTTCTATCTGTGCAACTCATAGTCTCTCTTCTCTACTCTGTCTCTTCCTCTTTCGTTTTCAATCACCTTGGATTCGACATCGACTACATCGACATGCCATTTGGATCTGCAGCAGCTGCAGCTGAGGACCAACAAGACAATGTCCGCTTTGCTGGACATCTGTGCTGAGCTGCACGGACGGCATGATGCTCCTTGGTAGAGTCTCGTGGGACTTATGTGTACATCAAGGAGCCTCTCTACACTGCCGTGTTTCCTAGGTTAAAGTCATCGCATTTACGGCAGCAGGGCTTCATTTCTGTAGCGGTGGTGCCTTCGGTGCCAGACTCGGCGATGTCTTTACTTCTGGTGCCTTCTTTTGCTATCAGCTATTATCAGCTGCCAAGGTGGAGATGTTGCCTCGGACGATGCCGAGTACGCGCCCAAGCTGGATCCAGGAGCGGGCTTGAACAACCAACCGGTCTCTTGCTCTGATGTCAGTGAGCCGTGAGATACGTTCCAGTCAGGAGCCAGTGAATTCGAAATGACTACAGCATCGAATCTCTTGCTCGCCAAGCTAGTTTACTTGCTGAACACACTGCCGCAGTTCAAGGCCTTTCACCTACTGCTGCCTCGGAAGGATTTCGTTGTTAGGGTCTAGGACCCCAAACTCCAAACCCGGCGAGGTTGCAGCTATCCGTGGCTCGACGCTGGGTGCGGGCATTAGCATCGTTGCTTCCATGGACCTGGTGGTCGCACCACCAAAGAGGACCGACTTTACAAGCATGATCTGGCAGATAGCTCCAAGGTACGGGTGCTGAGCTGAGGACGATGTTTAAGTTCAAGGAAGCCACGCGTGGTCTGGGAGCGTGCTGCTCTTGGCAGGGCATCATTGCAAAGATAGGCGCGGTGCAGGGTGACGGTTTCAAAGCGTGTGTCCCCGATCTGCCAGGTGTGGCGAAAATGCGTCAGCTGTGCATGTTAGCAGAGGACGTGGACGTGTTTGAAGCCAAAGAGCTTGGGCAGCTCGGCCTCGGATGGAGGAGATGGAAGCAATGGAACCCGGTGTATTCAGGCTGGTTCACCAGATCCTCGAAGGTTCGTACGCAGATGCCGACGATTGGGCGGTGACGAAGGCAACTATGTGACTTTTTGCTTCACAGTCGTCTGGAATGAAGTTGGCTAGCTGCCAGCCAACAACTGGCGTTGCCGCGAGGCCAAAGAAGTCGCAAGACGCAGCCTGGACGACCGCTCGAGTCTCAAGACAACAGGCTGGCTCCTGTGTGGAAACTCCAGAGGACACGCGCTTTGCACCATGTCTCCATGAAAGGCGAACACCGTTGCCGCGCACGACTCTTTCCGATGCCTCGTGGGCAAGGCGCGGACCAAGATCATTTCGAGGAGTGAAAGTGCCCGACGAGTACGAGGAGCTCCCAGGGAACATAGTTTCACAGATCAAAGTCCTTGGCCGCAGGTGCCGACTGCTTCGTCGAGGAGGCATGCCGACATCAGCACCAGTTTGCATGGCCAGGGGACCTTCGATGATTTCGTGATTTTTCTGGCTCGCAGCAGCTTCCTCGTGTGTAGAGACACGGTAGAGACCTCTTGCAATGCCGAAGTGCTTCCTAATCCTGTTGACGGTCGCGAGGTGGCACTGGAAGAGAGTTGAGATGACTTGAGTGTTGCCCAGAGGCCTTCACTTCCCCTGAGTCCCAAGGTCGTGGTGTTGTTGTCATGGAGTGACGGAGAAGTTGCTGTGCAGCTTGTGCAGCATGCAAAATCGAGCACGAACATCCCGGTTTCCATGTGTAGTAAGAATGCAAGACAAGTGCTGACACCTCTGTAATGATCGCTTCCATAGTCAGCCGATGTAGGGTTTCTTCACCAGGAATCAGTATTTGCTAGATCTATCTTGATGCACGAGGTCTTCGTGCTTTTTTGTCTTTCGCTGCAGCGACACAGAAGGTTGCGGCGCATGCGACCGCTAGCAGTTCAGTGCTCGCGACTCGCCACTCTTGCTGGACGCAACCCGTTCGAGAAGAGTTCAGCAGCTCGCAGAAAACTTGAGCGCGCCTTGTCAAAGTGCCTTGAAGCTTGGAGCTGCTGTTGGCTGAGCTGGGCTGGCGGAACATCATCAAAGCCAATTTCCGACCTGTATACAACAAGCTGGTTGAGCGAGATGCCGGCCGCTTGTCTGGAACGCCAGTTCCAAGCAACTGGACTTGCATTGAAAGCCATTATTGCGGTGAGCACTTGTGCCTGCGCTGGCTTTTTTGCAAGGCCTGCGCACAAAGGAGGATGCAGCTGCTTTTGAAAAGAAGCAGCTGAGCCCCGATCAACGAGATCTGCTGCGTCCAGTCCCGAGCTTGCGCTCGTGGCCACGGGCGCATCGCATCAATTTGAGCTGTGATGCCTGGCTGTTGAAGTACGGGCAAGCCTGCAATGCAAAGGCAAGCTCCAGAGTGCAGCCGTCGCGGCACCGAAAGCTGTACGAGTGGATGCAAAGCGCCACGGGCTGAATGTCTCGGCCCAGGTGGCACGACAGCTTGAGGGAACCTCAGTCGTCGCACCATGGGTTCGATGCAGTGACACATCAGCAGCACAGACACCCTTGAGTCGGGCGAGTGCTGCTGTACGTCCTCCCAGGAATCAGAGGTGCAGATGAAGCGTGGTGTCAAAGGTGAGCGCAAGGGCCTGAAGGCTGCCGAAGCTGCTGAGAAGAAGCGGGCGAAGCAGGAGAAGACACGGAGCCACTAGGCCGCATGTGCTCTGATCTGCTTCATGGTATGAGTGTAGTGTATGCTGTTCGACTTCTGAGGCAAGGTACTGCAAATGGTCGAGGGCCCAGAGCTGAAAGACCCATGGGCTTCCTTGCGGAACGAGTAGACCGAGTAGACGGAGTAAGTTGACAGCGTCTCTTGTCCCGATCCAGGGGGCGAAGCTGCTCACACTGCAGAGTGATGCAATCGGCGACATGCAGGACTGATCGGAAGGTTAATGCAGCATGAGCCCAGCTCTTTCGGTAAGCCTGCATGCCAGCCCAACGCGTGAGGAGCTGTTGCAGGCTTTTCGAAAGCAAGATCCCGCAATGGCTGACTTCCTGCTGAAGAGCGATCTGATAGCAGCGAGGCCCGTCTCATTAGAACGAACTCTTTCTCCAGAAAACAGGGCCCATCCCAGTGCCACTCAAAGGGGCGAAATGTGTGAAGATTCCGTGGCTTGGGAGTCCTCTAAGGCCTGAAGGCGATGCCGGTCCACTTAGGGAATGCGAGGGAGTGTGGTTGTCATGTCGGAACTTTTGTCCGAAGCTCGGGCTCGCAGGGAGGATGCGAAGACGATCGCCAAGGACATTCAAACCATGAAGGACGAAAGCAAGAAGCTTCGTAAAGCGGCTGCCAAGAGGGCGGTCCCTTTCCAGGCCGGCAATACCAAGCCCCTTGGCGAGACGAAGTCAGGACACGTCTCTCTGGGGAGCCTCTGCAGAAAGCAGAGATTTGCCTGGTCTCCGATTGCCGAGCTGAGGCTTTACAGCGCCGAGGTGGCCCCCGGCCTTCTGCTTCGGGGAAAGATCGACGCTCAGAGGCGCGAGGTGAAAGAAGCGATGTGACCAGTTGCAACAGCCGCGCCACAGAGGCAGATGTCCGATGAGGGATGCCATAGTATCGACATTTTCGAGCACAAATCTCGCCAGCGCGCCTTGGCTGTGGCTGGCAGCTGGCGGGTAGGACATCGCCTGAAGGACTCTACATGGCAGGGTGCAGCTGCTCTCCAAACTGAGGCAAGCTGCTACCTGGTCAGAAAATGGAATGGGGACGAAGGTGCAGTGCATGGGTATTTTGCGTCACGGGATGCAAGGTTCAAAACGTTGAAGGAATACGAGACTTGGTCTGCAAAGGCTTGTGCAGGTTGCGTGAACTTGACCGGACATGCCTGAGGAGAAGATCCAGTGCCTTGGCTACATCGACCTGGTGAAAAGAGACTCCGGCGATTCTGGGGTTCGGTGCTTCCTCGTGGAGACGTTTCAAGGCTCAGACTCATAAAAAGTCCGCGAAAAATGCTCAGAGTTGCGGGAATTTGCCCTGGTCCAGAAAGGAGCTTCATGGCAATGCGAAGTGAAGCAGGAGCCGGAGCTGTGGAAGGCTTGGACCATGCCCTGATCCCTGACGCAGCACATTGGCTTGATGTGCTTCAGGAGAAGGTTCTCGATGTTGTGAGCGGCCGGGCCGACGAGCTGAAAGATCTGATGCGGCCAGACATTGCAACCGAAACCGTCCGAGAATGGCTCGATAGTCTTTGACGAATTTCTTTTTTCACCCTTAGATGTGCGCTGTTATGCAGGGGCCGCAGTGCCGGAAGCTTGGGGAAACACCGCGCTGCGTGTACAGACTAATTACCGTGTACAGAGTGAATTGGATTCGACACGGTGCAATGCCGTGAGATGGACCATTTGGCTGCTTTGGGAAAGCTGGGCGAACTTGGCTGTGGCCCTAATGAGGTGACAGATTTAGATTAGGCTCACATTCGTCGTTCCGAATGGATCACAGATGCATTGCCCCAAAGGATTAGCTTTGTGAGATAGTGAAACGTTCTCGTCCCTACACTTTGCACCTTGCGCTGCTTGTTCACAGAGAGTGATGGCGTATATTTTTTTGGTATATTGTGTTGTTTCTGAATGGCTGCTAGCCAATCCTTAGACGGGGCGTGCAGAGCGCCTCTGCTGAGCCAAGTGCTGGTACACTGCCTTTTTTGGCGCGCACGCTCGCAGGTGCTGCAGAGGCACCCTGGTCGCGGCCCTCCGGCCCGGATGAGCTCTGAAGGTTGGTCTCACGAGGTTGGACGATGCAGTGGTAGCTCCATGGCAGGTGCACTAGCTTTGCTCGATTCTCTTTGCAGGCTGTGAAGATGCTGATGGCTGGGCAGCAGCTTAGCCAGTTACTTGAGTCCTGGCCTTTCAGCATCGTTGACTGCAGCTCCCTCGCCAAGGCACGTTGCTTCGTAACTCGGCGCAGGGTCATGAGGGCTCATGAGTGGCTTGTCATTTTCGCGGCGCTAGCCCATCGGAAGTCGCCGACTTGCACCCACCAAGACCAGACCAGGCATGTGGCAGTCCTTGAGCTCAGGATGCAACTTTTCCCACAATACGAGATAGATGCATTGCTGGCCGGCCTTGTGGATGCCCTCGCAGAGCTCCACCGAAGTGCGGGGAAGGCCACCCGTCATGAAAGGCCGTGCTCAGCGGGCGTTCATCCTGTCGAGGTGCGACTTCTCCAGGTGCAAATGCCAAGGCAAGGCGACGGATGTTTGTCCACTCGCGTGCCGCCGGCTCTCGCAGACCGGTTCCACGAGGTTCGCCGCTGTGGAAGAACACTTCTCGACATACCGAGAATGTTTCCTTCCTGGAGGTTCTGGTTTTGTTCCACATGCTGCCGATGTTTGTATTGGGCGCACTCAGCGGGCAAATCTCTGGATCGGGCCTCGTACTCTGCTCAACCTTCGATGCAGTGGTGACGGTGCAGGCGTGCCCAAGGAGAAAGCGCATTGTTGGAGCGTGGCGATGGCGCATGTTGGGGCATCGGAGGCGAGCTTTGACTTCTCGAGTCTCTCGCTCGACTTCCCTGGTGTCACAGATTTCCTTTGTCCTCGCCTGAATCAGGCTTGGCTCGCTGCTTGCTGAGCTAGGCAACTAGGCGCTGCAAGCCGGGCCGAATGCGAGGTCGTGCTGCCGAGCTCCGGGATCCCGCTGTCTGCAGTCCAAGCAAAGGACCGCGGAATTCCTATCATCTCCTAATCTTCTTTGTTTCCCTTGTCCGATTCATTGGTTCTTGCTGAGATTCCTTCACATCTTCGCAGCGCCATCGAAGCACGTCTGCCAGGAACTTGGACTAGTCTACGATGCTCTACACAGCGAAGAACAGCTACAAGACCTGTTAGCGCGGATCTGCTTCCCGGCTACAGTAAGCTGGTCGGATTGCATGCGACTCACGGGCGCAGCATCTTGACATGATGCGCAGTCACATGCAAAGTGCAACATTGCAGCCCTCAACTAGCATGGGCTCCGCTTGCCTTTGTGAGGTAGCAAGCTGTCGGAGTGTGCTCCGAATGCTGCCGGGACCTAAGTTCTTCATCAACTGATTGTCTCAGCCAGTCCAGTCTAGCAGGATGCAGAGCAACTTCTTTAACTTGGGCAAACGCAGTCATCGCGATCTTGATCGCATTGCGGGATTCGAGGTTGCACAGTCCAAGGCATTCATCCAGAAGGCTAGCGTCTGGCATCCTGAGAGATTGCTGCCTGATAGAGAGCATTGCAACAACATAACGCCACGGTCTTGCAACAAGCTTGTAGTTCTCATCGCACCAGATCGGAAGCATGCCTATGGAGCCGAAAGTCCTGGGTGACCTCGCGTGCCACATTGCCGTCTGGCAGCACAACACCTTCGCATCAGCAGCCATGTTCTCTGAACAGTCTCTGAAAAACTCAGGCAAAGCGCATGCAAGATCCAGAATTTCAGGACTCCATTCGGCAGATCGTCGACAAGGCTAGCTTGACATTCTGCGCAATCTATGCAATTGGCAAGCTGAGAGTCAATGCTCGCAGCGCGGCGCCGAGGGCCATCTGCCTGCGCACACCAGGCCGGCAAACAGAGTAGACCCTGGTCTCAATGGCTCAGATCAACTTCCGTATGCTCAGCAGAATGCCGCTTGTGACTTGTTGGATTGCTTCGCACCCAGGTCCCGGAGAATCTTCTATCAGAGAGCCAGGTCGGAGCATGGCATTCATCCACACATGTCGGTCGCATGGTAATGCGAGCATTGCGATTTGAAACAACACTTGCTTGTTCTGGAAATCCGAAACGCAGCCACAAGGGACACACATCCAGATTACGATCAGGAGGGAGGTGACGTTCACACATGCCATCAGTTCCGCAGCATCCCGACCGACCATTACAACCCTGCCAAACTCGAAGTTGACCATTTTCGAAGTTGCCATGTGCAAAGCATCTTAGAGCATATCTTCGAGCCACAGCATCCTTAGGCCCCCGGTCCTTTGATCCAGCAGCCCATCGGCGCACATGTGGTTCAGCGATGTCATGCCACGCCGCCTGTCTGTGCACACATAGTTAGACACAGTTGGTCGAGGCCGCGAACAGGTTCGGATGTTGCACCGTGACGGAATGCGGCCGCATGACTTGCAGCATTGCGAGTCAGGCACGGGCTGCCCTGTCTCGGTTCGGGTGCTGTGCCTGCTGCTCGCCTGCGGCTTGCAGCCGACTTCGGTTGTGGCTTGCCGCTGACCTTGGAGACAGGTTATAAATAGATTGGTGAGAAAGGCGTGAGGAGGAGACCTCATCAGGCCTCAGGTTTCCGTCATGTGATCCTCTGAGCTCTGATCCTGTGAGGGATTGGAGGTGGAGGTGACGGTCCAAGCTGCGTGGCCTGCCGCATCCCTGGCAGCCGAGCTCCTCGAGGGCCTGGCAGAAGTTGGCCGAGGCAGAGAGAGAGAGAGAGAGAGAGCTGCGCAATTGCAGAGCGGTCGCAAAGTCTCAGGCTTTCTGATTTCGGAGAGTTGCTCGTTGTGCTAGCTGCTGCTAGCTGCTTACACATCTTACACCACGGCAGCACGATTTGGGGCTCGAGTGTCGGACCAACAACAGCCTGAAGTTGCGCGAAGATGTTCAAGACGGCCAGACTCGTTGGGACCTTCCTTTTGGCGCTGCACAGGGCAGGCGCCACTTGCCTTGCCGACAACAAGCTGAAGCTGAAGACTTGTGGCAACCAGTGCTCGGAAAGCAAGGACAGGGTGGTCTGTGTTTCAAGTTGCCTTCAGAAACAAGATGTGGTGACTGCATGTGCTGACTGCCTCGGGTCAGAGTTTGACTGTGGCAGCCGCTTCTGTGGAAGTGCATGCGAAGGGGGGCACAGAAGTGGAGCCTGCGAGTCGTGCCTGCATTCTCAATGCACCGTCTGCAGCACGGAGCTGGACTTCCAGGCTCACACAGCGAACCTGGGTGATGCCTTGGCTGAAGCAGTTGAGGTTGCCACACCACCGGCAGACAATGACACCGCTGCTGTGAAGATGCTTGCGGAAAGCACCGGAAGCTGCGCATCCAGTGGTGCACTCATCAGTTCATGTGGTACCCCCTGCTACTCCACCACCGATCCGGCTGGATGCTACGCGAAATGCGCCATGCGGGCTTGCTTCTCTGGTTGCCACGAGTGCAGCAGCACTCACTGCTTCGAGTCGTGCAGGCGATCCTTCTCGAGCTATGAATGTGCCACCTGTGTGAGTGGTTTCTGCGGCGGGTGCACGGTCCAGACAGGAATGAAGGACTCCATCATGCTCCCCTGAGCCGAGCTGCTGAATCTGCAAAAGCAAACAACAGTAAATAGCTGCAAGGTTCAGGGGACGCCAAAGATGGCAAACGTTCATCGCGGCGGAGGATAGTGGCATAGGCCCCTGACGGCGCACGCTTCTCTTCTCTTGAATTTTCATGGCAGGTGACAATCGCCGCCAACAAACCATCGGCCGACTCAATCACATGTGCTGGTGTGCACGCAGTGGCACGACGTCACTGCGTGTGGACCCACTGCAGCGTGATGCTGACACTTTTGAGATGTCGCCAGCTGCATGGAAACGAGAGCGAACCCGAGCTGTGTGCTACTTGCAGTCGGCCCTTCACCTGAAGGTGCAACCTTTCTCCGTGCGCTCTCTGGGAGCTCCAGTTCCCAGTGGCGCCAGGATGCTGCCAAGCACGCCGATGCGGCTCTCTGCTGCCAGGGCAAGTCGGCCTATGGCAGGTGGAAGATGCGGGGAAAAGGGGATCCCAACGAACCTCGCTTAGCACCCTTCCACCGGTCTGGGATTGTTTGAAGCTTCTCTTGCCAGGTTCGGTGATCAGTATGCGGCAGATATCGTTTCGGTAGTTACAGGCAGTCAGCATGAACAAGCCCCGGATCGCCGCAAAGCTGCGAAGGCTGCTCTCTCTCAGAGCACGGCATTCATTTTCCTCGGCAGTTGTTGAGGCAGCCCGAGGACAGCCCTAGCCGATCATAGAAGCATACCCGTCATTGGACAGACCCTCGAATTATTTACTTTTCAAGTACCTGCCCGAAGGAATGGAGCGAGCGGACAGGGCCATCCTTGAGGAGCAGGGTCGTTTGGATGCCGCGTGCCTTGGCAGAGTGCCAGAAGAGATCCTTTCATTAAAAGCAATTTACTCTTGAGAGAAAAGTGCCAAGGACTTGCCCGATCGGGCAGCCGTGGGTCATGCTGCACTCGAAGGGCGGGTACACTGAAGCCGCTGAGATGATAAGTGGCCATGTTGCTAGCAGGGTTCGTGGCCTGGTCCAGTCATCGCGTTAGGAACCCATGTGCCGAGCGTTCGACGCTTAGGTCTTCTGTGGGAAGGAGCTAGCCAAGTTGAGCAAGTTGGTGCTCACGGGGTCGAAGCCGGGAACGTCGATGGGGAGACTGAGCGGTGCTCCACGACGAAGTGCCTTTGCCTGCCAGGGAGAGAATCCCGCACAAGGTTTGCAAGTGTTGGTCCGGTCATTCCAATCTTAGTCCCACACACAAAGACTGGAGCCACAGAAGTAAGGTGGGCTGGATCACGTCTTGTATGAGTTCATCGCCGAGGAGGCGGAGCTATAAAGCCTGTGTCGAAGTAGGGCACTTTCCAGCATTCTGCTGCATGCACCTGCAGCTAAACATCAATCCGAGCGTTTGTGCACGAGCCAGTCCAAACTCCGTCCGGCAGCATGCTCGCGAAGGATTCCTGTCCAGAGCTGATTGGCTATGGAGATCTTGGTGATCCTTCCGGGGCCTCTGAGCTACTGAGTCATGGGCCGCACAAAGTACATATGTACATTGGTTGTTGTGCTACGCATGTCCGTACATACGCACACAGGCAGTCACAGAGGTAGGTACCCATGTATGTGTGCATGCATGTATGTACTAAATGGAGCCTGTAAGTCCGAAGAAGCATGACATGCCTGGCAGAATTGTTCTTTCCAGTGAGCAGTTTTGATCATTGCATCGTCTTGCATTCTGTTTAGCCAGCATCCAGCGACCAGGGCCTCAAAAGACATTGACATGCTGAACATTAGAACACATCACAGATGAATCAAAGAAGATGGCGATCGCCGCTGGTACTGCAGCTTCTGGTTCAAGGGTTCTGGTGGGTTCGTTGGGGTCAGTCCGACTTGTGGCCGCTGTCAGGAAAGCTCTTCTTGAAGCTGCCGATGCCCTCGCCACTGCCAGCAGCTGTGGCAGGGTAGCCTTCCGGCATGCGACGCCTGCAGGATTTGGCACGAAGCAACGTGAGATGGTGCGCGTAGCATGTTCAGCCGACACACCAGAGCCGACACACCAGAGGAGACGCGCCACCGGCAGTTCTTGGTGGGTACGGCAGCTTCGGCAAGTTCTAGTTCTGAGATGCTCGAAGAAAGCCGGATCAGATGCCAGGCCTCGAGCTGATGACCCGCAGTGCCGACGAGGCCAGGCGAGTTTAGGGTGTGGAATCTTGTAGCCGGGTAGCCCCAAGAACTCCCAGGTTGCCAAGAGCAAGGACGATGACTCGCCACAGGAAGCAGAGGCCGCGAGAGTCTGTCATCCCTGCACCGCTTTTCCTTTTCTCACACAGTTCAGCTCTGGGCCAGGAAGAGGTGGATGGCAGGTGTCTCCGTGAGGTATCTGATCCTGCAGAACCTCGGCAGTGTCAAAGCTCTTTGCATGCTGTGCTTCACTGACCACAACCTCCGGCGCAAGCGAGGAATCCTTTCACGGAATAGACATCGCAGCAATTGCCAAGCACTTTCCAGACAGTGCTTCTGCCCTTTGCCTCGGCCTTACAGCTGCGGGAAGCAAGGGTGAGCGGCAGACCCGGACTGTACATGATGACAAGTCTGATTGACACAAGCCACAAGGTCGTCTGCGCAGCGATCTGGTTACCCAAGCTGAGAAGCCACTCCTCCCATGGGAGCTAACTCGCTTGGGCGCTCGCGCTGCCATGCGCGCGGTGCGTCTCAGCAATGAATCCAGCTTGGAAGGCGAGGCAGTCACACAGTCCGGATGGATTAGAAACTCGCCTTTATCATCCCTTATCCAGGTCTGCTTTCGCTCGGCGAAGTCGCTCAGGACATCTGTGAAGTTTTGCGTTCTTCCACAACTCTTTTTGCCCAAAGCCCACGGCTTTGCGTCACGAGTCAATACGAGTCACGACTACATGGGGCCAGTCCATAACCGCGGGAGAACAGGACTACCCATCCGGATGGGGCAGGGCATTGTCTGCGGGCACTTCAGAAGATTCGCAGACTGCACGTGAGTTGATGGAAGATGCAGAGGTGCAGGGCTTAGAATCTAAGAAGCTTTGCTACAACGCTCCTTGTTTCCTGTTCACTCTCTCCTGCACGGGCCTCGAGAGCCACCAAGGCAATCAAGGGTGACGACACACTACAGGTGAACGGTTGGCAGGTGCCGGAGAAACAACGAGGCCGGCTTGCGGCCGTATGTGGCTGTGTGGGGTGCCGCCGAGTGATCGGGCTGAATTGTATCATCTATTATCATCTGGTCCTGTTCTGCCTTTGTTTTGTGGCGTCCAGGCCTCCTTCCTGTGCTGCGGGCACAGCTGCCGTTGCTCGACACATACTGGGCTTGTCCGTACACGATGTTGTAAGCCTGTGATTTATGCAACGTCTTTGGCCATGAGGGAATGTGGCTCAGTAGCGTGAGTAACCAGTGCTTCTGCAAACCGTCGAGGCTGTTTCGCTCGGCTGAACTTCTAGCCTCTTCCGGAATCAGCCAGTCCGGAGCATTTGCCCTGCGCCTGGGCGCGGGACACTGGTTCTTCCATGTTTTTCCCTCTACCTGATGCGAACGCTATCGTGAGCATTCATGTTCTGGATCAAGATCGAAGATCCAGCCGGGATACTGGGGCGGAATGCTGGTTTTGATTTGATCATATTTGATCTGTGCTCTGGATTGCCAAGGCTCCGGGATGCACGCAGCGGGCCGGCCGTGCCATCCAGGGTGAACACCGGCGACCCACGCATAGAGAAGAAAGGGAAGGCCTGCAGCAATGCAGCATTGAACCATGGAAGCTGTCTGCCAGCTATGAATCCTTCTGACGAGAATCCCAACATCTGTCTGTTCTATCTCATGCAGGCATGTTTCTTCTGTCTGCTGGGATTGAATTGAACTAGCACAGTTGTCTTATACTGGCCGCTGGCCGTTCTCAGGTCTCAGGTTTGTTCATTGCCAGAATCCATGCCAAAGTGCTATACGAAGCGCGCCCAGTGTCGAAATGTCCCTGGCTTTGGCAAAGTATTGTTATACTTTGAGGCGTATCGGCTGCAAGTCTTGCATGCAGATTGCATTTTTTCTTCGGTCGCAGTTCATCTCGACCACATCGCTCCTCAAGGGAGCCTAGTTTCGTGTCGCAGCCATGTCTTTGCCTAGTACTGATCCAGCAGCGGTGCAGGTTTACGCAGAGGAGTATCAGCGCCTTCGTCAGGTTGACCCTGCCTCGGTGCAGCAAGTCTACTGGCAGCATAG